CAAATCCCAAATCCCGCGGGAAAAGCTCCAACATGGAGGAGATCCCAAATCCCAAAATCCTGTGGGAAAAAGTCTGATCCCAAATCCCAAATTTTGTGGGAAAAGCTCTGATCCCGGATCCCAAATCCTGCGGGAAAAGCTCCGATCCCAAACTCCCAGGAATTCCCCCGTTTATTCCCAGCTTTGCCATTCCCAAGGTTTTCCCAGCTCCGGAATCTCCGGAATCTCCGGTCCCGGGCAATGATTAACCCGGAGCCGGCCCGGCCGGATATTCCCACTTTTCCCAAATCCCAGAGCAGGACTGGGATCTTCCCTCTCCAAGCCAGCAGGAAAAACCGGGAATGCGGCCGGAACGCCGGGATTTCTCCAAGTTCTTATCCCAAAAATACGGAAAAATTGGGATTTCCGTGCTTTTTCCGGCTGCGTTTTCCCAAACTCCCGGCGCCACCTCCACATTCCCAAATTATCCCCAAAAAACGGGAATAAATTCCCACTTTTTCCTGGTTATTTAGGCCTGGAGCTGATCCAAGGAATTCCAAATTCCCACAGGGACCTTATGGAGCTTCCCGTGGGATTTTCCCGGGAATTTCCCATCTCCAGGTTTTTTTTTCCCCCCCCTCCCCAGATCCCGATCTTGGAAAAGTTCCGGAATATCCGTGGGGAAAAAAGGGATTTGGCCAAGGCAGGGAATTCCTGGATTTTGGGAATAAACCCAATCCCGGGTGGGTGTTTTCCTGGGAAAAGTTTGGGATTTGGAATCATCCCTGAGGCCACCTTTGGGATCAGGGAGGAAATTCCATCCCGAAAAATCCCCGGAAAATGGGAATCGCGGAGGAATCTGGGAATGGATCCCGATTTTTTCCTCTTGGGAAAGCTCCCGGGACGCCGGGCTGCTGCCGCCGCATTCCAGAGATTTTTTGGGAATTTTGGTCATTCCAAGGGATGTTGGCAGAAACGGGGAGAAATCTGGGAATTTTTTCCGGGCTCCTTGGGATGGATCCCGGGCTGCTCCGGCGTTCCCGGCCCGGGATTTGGGGTTGGGATTGATCCTCAAGTTCCTTTCCCAAGCCAATTCCATGGATTTTTGGGAATGTCCCAAATCTCAGGATGGGGATCCGGCCCGGCCACAGGGTCAGAGCGAAGGGATGGGAACGGAATTCATGGATAAATCATGGATAATTCAGGGATAATCCACGGATAACCCATGGATAACTCATGGATAACCCAGGGATAACCCATGGATAACCCATGGATAATTCACGGATAATCCATGGATAAATCACGGATAATCCATGGATAAATCACGGATAATCCATGGATAACTCATGGATAACCCAGGGATAACCCATGGATAATCCATGGATAATTCACGGATAATCCATGGATAAATCACGGATAATCCATGGAAATCATGGATAATCCATGGATAAATCATGGATAACCCAGGGATAACCCATGGATAATCCATGGATAATTCACGGGTAATCCATGGATAAATCACGGATAATTCATGGATAATCCATGGATAAATCATGGATAATCTACGGATAATCCATGGAAAAATCATAGACAATGCCTGGATAACTCATGGAAAAGTCATGGATAACCCACGGATAATCCGTGGATAAATCATGGATAAATCATGGATAACTCATGGAAAACTCATGGAAAGCCCCTGGAAACCCCAAACACGGCCGCTCCCTTCCCTTCCCAGCCCATTCCCATCCCATTCCCTGTCAATTCCCATTCCATTCCCGCTCCATTCCCGCCCCTGTCTGTCCAGAACCCCTCAATCCATGGAATTCCCTGTCCATTCCCAATCCATTCCCTGCCCATTCCCATTCAATTCCCACCATTCCCATCCCATTCCCATTCCCATTCCCATTCTTCCCTCACCTGCCTGCCCAGCCCCGCTCCATCCATGGAATCCCATTCCCATTCCCATTCCCACTCCCATTATCCCCATTCCCATTCCCATTATTCCCATTATTCCCAT